GGATGTGACTCGTTTGACTCGGAGGGTGGTGCAGTTGGAGACGTGAAGGAGAATCTGCTGCAGCAGACACCCAAGTCCACCCCAATTTTCTTTTTTTTTTTTAACCCTTAAAACATTCTTTGCACGGTTGAGAAACCTTCAATGGCGTTTGTTGGAGATTTGTCCCCATGCACCTTGTTCTGATGCACATTTTCTTGGTCATGGCACCATCTTCCATTTTAAAGCCAATACAAAGTAAAAGGTTATCGCTTAGTACACACTAGTGTTTTGAAACTTGGCTAAATCTGCAAAACCAAATATACAATGATACGCATTTTCCTTGAATTTTGGAGCAGTGGCGTAATGTAATTGGTTCCTTATTTAAATTCAAATGACCCATTTTGAATGTAATTTAATTGGGAAAAATATAAGTTGACACTGACTAGAACCCAGAATTTAATTTAGTAATTTATTAAAGAAACTTTTTCAACCTTTAAAAAAAAAGTTTTTTGATTTAGTTTTTCATCTTTTTGAAAGGATTTAAATTAACGTGTTTTTTTTTCTTTTGAAGTTAAACACAAAGCCTTGATCATAAAAATTAAAAATAAATCTCCAATGAGTCCGTCAAATGGTGACCCATGTTGCTTCACAGATAAGCCATTCATTTTCAAACCTAAAATCTATTCAATTTAATTATGGTAAGTGTCGACGTCTATATGAAGAACAAAGGAGTTAGTTAGAGAGACAATATTTTTCTTCTTTAACACATTTTTCTTCTCAGTTTCTTGTTCATGTGTCGCAAACCTAGCCCGTTGTCTTTAACCTTGCAATTTTAGTAAGCGAATCATACACACAAAGACATTGATCTCTCAGCCAAGGATCTTGTCGGGGGTCATTGTGTGTTCCGACGAGAATAGAATTAAGGGACCAGTGATGTAAGATCAACTTTATAGTTTCATTATAATATCATCCTTTATTTCAGTGTCAGCTAAACAACTGATTTGCTTGCTGCAATGGGTTTCCAACCAATACTTCCATAAAACGTTAAAAACAACTTCGAGGTCACCCACTTAGCTTCTACTTTCACATTTCCTACGGACTTCTGTATCTTTGTCTCCTACAAAGGCCATTCTCAACTGGCTTGAAGGACACTCTTCCAACTGAAGCATCCCAATCTCTTTGCTTCTAATGCCTTGCAAAGGTTACGGTTGGTTAAGTTGGTCAGGATGGCCTTTCATGTCGTCAGTTTAACTCTCCTCACTAATAAATACCCACAACTAATATTATCAATGAAAAAATAAAAAGCAGACGCTTCCAAAGTTACTAATCAATGCAAATATGCAGAAAAACACTTACCATTATAATTATACTAAAAATATATGTACCAAACCTAACATATATGTAAAGACTGAAATTTAACCAGGGGTTCTTAGGTATTCTCCGAAATTGAGAACAATCAATATGAGTAATTAAAAGTGCATATTTAAGTTAGGACAAGCAATGAAGAAAACAGATGGGGGACATTGACAAATTTTGATCTACCTTAATAACTTGTGTAACGCTTCATTGATAATCACCTACTTATCACCTATAGACAAATTTATCTGATCATGCTTTGTCCTGATGAGGAACACTATAATTAACCAAGGTCTTGCCAAATTTAGTCAAGCTAACCCCTTTCTTAATTGACTAAAATCCCTTTTCAAGAAAGGTTTTGTTTGATGGACAGTCTAATGCCAATCTTGCATGGAGAGAGAAAGTAATAAAAGTGATGAAAGATGTGATGTTGGTAAATATCACAAGAAATCAAATGTAGCAAAATGCTAGATGAAATCTAAATAAAATTTAGTGAGAGAGATTAAATATTAGAGAGGCAACTCAAAATATTTTGGAAAATCTACTTTTAACAAATTTTTAACAACAGTTTATCTGATAGTATGTGATTTGTCCGTTTCAAATATACAAATCAATAAAATAATGACACGTAATCCACTGTAGAAAAATTATTAAAAAAAATTATTAAAATATAGGGGTCCAAATATTTTACTCTATTAATATTAATTTACATTCGTATGGCCACGTAAAATAGGTCAGGCCACACAATTTGTCAATCGCATCATGCATATTGGACAAAAACTCAATATGCATGCTCAAGACCTTTACAAAGTCCTTTACAAAGTAGTGTGAAGGGTTTTGCTATTTCACATTCCTTGTTTCTATGTTCACCCCACCTTCTTTTAAAAACAAATCCCCTAATCCTAGTCGTCGTTGCACACCATTTCATGTCATCCGTTGCAAGCTACAACCATTGCTTTGCAAGAGAATTCATGAGAATTCATTTGTTTCAATTACACAATAAAAATATTTTTATAGAGCATTAGAGCGTTTTTTTGTAAACACAATTTTAGTCAAATTTAGAGAGGATGAGTACTTTGAAAAAGGAAAGGTACCTCTAAAATTGAAGACTTAAAATGTTTAAAGTATTTTTGAAGTTTACACAAAATATAATTGGCTCTATAAGAATATATTATATTGTTGATATGCCAATTTATCGGATGTCAAGCTGTTGCGTGTGGAAGGGGTTTCAATTTTTTATGCAGAAACCATTGTCAGTGGTGGCAAAGAAGCCAGATTGGTCCTTATTTGTCCAAGCTCACTAGTAAGGCTCACTTCTTCTTAATGAGATCAATGTTCGAACTTATAACACTTAAGGCTAGTGTTATTAAAGTAAAGGAAAAAACTCTTTCGAAATGATTGTTAGTAATAATGGACTATATTTATACAATGTTATGATAGTAAAAAATGTTAGTAATAATGGACTATATTTATACAAGGTTATGATAGTGAAAAATGTAAAAATAAGATAAAGACGTGAACATTATATATTCTTATGTCTACAAATATTATCTTTTCATATTTTTAAGAAGGTTAATGTATAATCTTAGATCATATTGCTAAGTGAATCTCTCATTGCTAAGTTCAAATTGGCAACAGCATTGTCCTAAAAAATTCCATGGAATAGCACTCTGTTGGTTAGGACACGTCATATGCCTACCTACTTTAATGCAGAATCGAACTAGGTACACTCAAGAGCAAGGGTAAGTCTAAGAAAAATATTTACTAGATGAAAGAGATTACAATATCCTCTCTTTAATGCAAGGAGATACAAGAAGTTTTGGTGCATTTGACACCTTCACTTGCACCCTTATATATATATATATATATATATATATATATATATAAAGAAGGAGGGAAGCTTTTGCCCACTTTTAGATTTCTAACAACTTCTAACAGACATCATATTCTGTTGTGATACTGAAATAGATAATCCTTCTTCCCTCCCACTTCCCATCACATGTTGGTTGGTGAGGAGAATGTTTTTTCTCTGCATTTTTGGAGGTTGATGTTGTCGTATTCGACATTGTAGATGGAGACACTCCTTACAAGCCCACATACTGTTGTGCTACTGAAACAGATAATCCTTCTTTCCTCCCACTTTCCATGACATGTTGGTGAGGAGAATGTTTATTTCTCTGCATTTTTTGAGGTTGATGTTGTCGTATCCGACATTTTAGATGGGCATTCTCCTTACAAGCCCATTTTTCTTCTTTCTGCTTTTTCTGTTCTATCCGCGTTGTACGTTCCATTTCTGCATACGTGAAAAACAAATAAAATAATCAGTTTTCGTGGCACTGTTCATTTTCTTACTCTGTTTTTTCGTTCGATTTTTTATTGGTGTTTTTCATGAAAACGCAATAAGACCCAAGTGTAACAAATGGTCATTAAATATAACTTACCACATTCGTGAGGGCTTATAAAGCTTTTATTTTCGGTAAGTGGATTTTTGACAACTTGACCTTTGATTATGAAACCTTATGGGTGTTAAACAAAATTTCTCCTATATAAAATCATTAATTAAAAAAAAATTAGACAATCTTTAATGTACTTGATTATTAACCAATTTAAAATCTTTGGTAGATTTCTTATCAAAATATTTCATATAAGCATAATTTTTATAAGAGAGTACGCTCTTCTAATAAAGAGGTCATTAATGGAGAGAAAACGTTTTGAAAAAGATAATAAGTGCTTCAAACAAAAAATCCTTAAAAGAAATGTGACAAAGGAAAATGGGAAACAAAAAATAGAAATAACCTATAAAGAAAGAATGACTAAAGAAGCTCGAAAAAGAGACAAGAAAATATAATTGCAAAATTAGAAATTCTTTACTTTTAAATACGAAAGAAACGTAGATTAATTGGATTAATTATTTAGTGGTTAAACTACTTCATAAACCTAACTACTTTAGGGAGTTGTAATTTTCTTCACCATTATTATAATTACCAACTAAAGATGGTTTGTCAGTCTTTTTGTTGGGTTAATGAATTTTGCTTCCTTACTCTTATTCATAGGTTTTTTAAATCTCTCTTCTAATCCAAGCGTTTTCTTATCTATAAAACTTTAATTTTAATGAAATTTAAATTTGGTGAGATTTAGAATCTAATGAGAATTTTATATTTTATTCATAGGTTCTTATATTGAAAATTTTCTTTAATTAACAAGTAAACATTACATTTATGCTTAATTCATAGAAGGTGCCATGTTTGTCATCTTTCTTCCCTTCGAACATTATACTTTCTTTGTTTTTCTTTTTCTTCTTATTGTTCCTTAATTTGCTCCTTTTCCCAGGTTCTTGGAATCAGTGAGTACATTGAAGAAGTTTACGCGACATAATATGAACAGCACAAGTTAGAGAGCATGGTGATTATAAATATCAGTGTTCCTAGAATATAAATAATACATTTATGATGTTAAAATGTTGGTAAAAAAATGTTGTGAAAATATAATCATTGACAGCCAAAGCAACATCAACATTAAAGAGAGTACTTAAGAGTAGGGGGAGCGTTGGGTAGCATTTAAAGCTCGTACGCCTAACAAAGTTTGATCACATTCACCATCGTGCAGTGGTGAGTGTGAGGACTATGGACCCATTCAACATGATCACATCACAAACTTCAAAATTTAATCCCAACTCTCTCCCACACACTCTCTCAAACTCATATTGCGTTCTCAGAACCTGCACCACATCATGCCAAACGACGCCGTTCTCAGAACCTGCCTTCTCTGGCTGGCCGCAGTTATTTTAGCGGTTGGCTTATTCACCCACTCTTTCAAGAAGATGATGGTCACCTACGTCTTCGGAGTTCTTGGGATTGCGGCGGTTCTCCTTCCTGATTGGGATTACTTCAACCGTGATTTCTCTCGTTGGACTTACCCTGTCACTGCTGAGGAAAGGGCCAATTCTCCACATGCCCAAGGATCTGGATTTCTCAGGTGCCCCCTTTTTTTCTTGCTTATCTTTCGATTTCGATTACCCAAATTCGAATCTATAAAATGATTGCTTCACTTTTAATAGGTTAATTGAAATAGATGAATTTGTGATTAGAAATGTGTTGTCTGATACAGGTTTGCTCATTCTCCTCTAAGGGTGATTGTTTATAGTGTGGTTTATGGATGTGCTATGTACAAATGGTGGGAGTATGTATCGAGCTAATCGTTAACAGCTTTGTTTAGCAGAAGCACCTGAAAATTCTTCTGAATCCCAATTTTAGATGTAAGCTTTACCCTTTTGTTGATTTAATTTTTTCACTTTTGGTGGAATCCGTAAACCGCATCGGTGATTGTCCAAGAGATTATTCGTTTTTATGCTAAAAATAGAAAATCGAAAGGAATTAATTTGTAATTTTAAACAAGACAGGGTTTTGGTTGTTATTTTTGTCGTTTGGGAAACTTTTTCGAGTCACAGTTAAACGATGAGGATGCACTGTACTCAAATAGAGGCAAGGTGCGATCGATTTTGATATGGATGGAACGAAGGCTTCTTCCTCTCAGCATGTGTTTGTCAACTCCTATTATAGATAGTTCACTTATCTAATCAAGTTAAATCTCTGTGCTTTAAATTCGACAAGATGTCATCATACCAAACTACGATCACAATATGTTTTCCCAAACTTTCATCATTATATACTTTTTATTTAAACTTACATAAGATTCATCGTATTGATGTATGACATAATTTTAAAAAATTACTTAATTATTATTTTCTTTATATCAGATATTACATATTTTCACACTTTGTATCCAATACATTAATAACAACCAATCATATAGAAAACAAAGAATGTAGAGATAATTTACTAAAAATCACATTAAAAACTCATAAATTTTATTTGTGTACGATTTAACATTGAAATACATAATCATTCCTAGTCCTATAGTCATCAAATCTATATATACACATACATATGGATTATGTATGGATCCACATATCAGTTTTTTGGAATATTGGTATTAAACAGTATTCACCACAAATTTAACACTTGACTCATTTTAGTATTTCGGGTATGCAAACATTGACTATATGGATCAAGGTGTGATCAAAATATATTTATACCTACATTTTAACATTCATTTTGATTCACTTTCAAACTTCAATATTTTATATGAAGATATGATAAATTCTCATTCAACTTCTTACCACTAGATGTGTTGGTTTACAAGACTCTGACCATTAAAGAATGAATGCTATAACGTAATACTCACAAACAATTGTAGTTCACTTACCATTACAAATTTTTGACCTTAAAATCACTCATACACACACAGACACAGTCAAAAAGTGACACACACACACACACATTCTATCATACACTTGAATTAAAACACTAATAATTTAAAACACAATTAAACGATTTTTAAAAAACAATCAAACAATTTCAGCATGTAACAAACATACACATACATAAGCTAAGACAAATTACAAGAAGATCATTTAAATAAGAACATTATGTGATATTTCACTTGAGCAATAATAGTTCTAATGAACAAAAGTATCAAATAATATATACTCGAGTAAGGATATCAACCGATACTCTTACTAAGTGACTCAAGTGAAACTTTCATTTGAATAAATTTGACTTCGTTGAATGAGGGTATTACAGAAAACATTCGTTAAAGTAACTTAGACTATACACTAGTGTAAATTTTTAGTTATTTAAATCTTTTGTTTATATAAGATATGATACAATAACTTTTTTTTTTCTATTAGAATTTGATGTTTATTTGAAAGTTATTATATATGATAGTGTATTTCTAATCTTAAGGTGAAAATAGGTTAGGTTTAATAGAACATGAAAAGTCTTCTCTTTTCTTCCTTATATATATATATATATATATATATATATATATATATATATAATATTCACAGATAAATTTAAACACTAAACCCTAATTAAAATATATAAAATATTTTTTTATTATTCAAATTTATTTTAAAGAAAAAATATTTATAGCAATATTATATAATTTATTTATAATTTTGTGAAAAAATAACTATACAAACAAAAATAAATTTTGTATAACTTTGTGACATTAATTTATATAATAAAATATACTACTACTATTATTATTATTTAATATATATTTTTATCAATAATGTCAGTTGTAAGTATTTGTTAATATATTATTATCTTATATGTATTATCAAAATGTTCTCTCAAGAGCTACCACATGTTTAAAGTATTCATTTAATTTGTATAATAGATATATAAGTCATTTATTTAATGAAGGAATAAGATTTTAGAAAATGTTAATGAAAAAAAATTAATATATTATTATTTTTATTATCTAAGAAATTTCATGAAAAACAAAAGAGAAGGAAAATTTCTTTAAAATATAATTAACTTTATACATATTACATATATATATATATATACATACATATATATATATATACATATATATATATATATATACATATATATATATACATATATATATATAGACATACATATACATGTATGTATGTATACACATATACATATATGTATGTATATACATATATGTATGTATATACATATACATATATGTATGTATAGACATATACATATATGTATGTATATACATATACATATATGTATGTATATACATATACATATATGTATGTATATACATATACATATATGTATGTATATACATATACATATATGTATGTATATATATGTATATACATATACATATATATATATATTCACTTTGTGAAGTAAGATAATCATCTTTAATTTGTGGTATGATTTGAACGTTATTAGAAAATATTTTAATTATCTTAAAGAATAAACTTGTAAGAATTTTAGTATATGGATATTTTAATCATAAAACTTAAACTTAATTTCCTTATCAAGTACTTAAAGAATTAAAGCTTAACATAGAAAGTTAAACCCTTTTTCAAGTAAGGAATTAAATTTGAATTTTCTTTTATATGACTAATGTTGATATTGTAATTTAAAGAATTTCTTTAAAAGTGTAACATTTGGTAAGTATAACCTATAACTTTCCATTGCATTTGCAAAATCCTATTATTTTATACATTTCTTTGAATTACAAAAACTTAAAAGAGCGATTTATAAAAAAATAGTTTAATTAATTAGAGCATTTATGGTCCTAAATAGCTAGAATTAGTGGATTGTTGTACTGAAGATATCATTGTAAATTCATATATGTCACAACCATACATCATACCTTAAATCCTCAATGAAAAAACAAAGGAGATGACCAAAGCTTACCATGACACACGACATTGACGATGAAGGGCAATTGATGGCAGCACTAAATAGCCTCCAATGCACGAACCTCGTTTGGAGTTGATATTTTTTAAGGCCAATTGATATTGGAAACTTGGGTATGTGGGAAACTGCAAAGTTAGAAACATCAATTTGAAAGCAAATCGAGCTTGAAAATATCCAATTTAAAAAAAGAAAAAATCTAAGACTATCTGTGAAATAAGAACGAAATGCTTCATGCATCTGTCAATAAATTAAGTATTATATATAGGTATGGTGGTGAATTATTCAATAACATTCTTCAAAAGTACAGCAAATTTAAAATCTTTTTATAACCATTAATTAAGAACATGAACAAAAGAAATTAATGATTCTATGATTCTAACTGAATCTCTTATATTCGAGTTTTCATTGTTTGGGATATTAGAAAAATGAAGTTTGAGTTTTAATTGATTTAGTATGTGAAGGACAGTAACCTTATAATAGTACATTAACGTAGTAACGTATTTTTTATTATACAACAGATTAATATTATTATGATGCAAAATGCATTTATTTGACCGCAGTGACCGTTATTAGTGGTTGTCAAATTGATTGTTATACTTTTAAACACATTTAAAGCATTTAAAGAGGAGTTTTAAATACTACAGTTTTGTTAGAAACAACTTTCTCGTTACAACAGTGCTTACAAGATTTTTCAGTTGTTACAGACCTCTAATTTTTAAAATGGTAAATCTTATTATACTTATTAAAATAATAATTTTATCATAGACAATTGTTAAATTTAAATTAAAATATAGAACTGTTATTTACTTACATTATAAATGTGCTAAATCACTTAAATACTCTTAAATTCCTAAGGCAAACAATATTTCATTCATTGCTGACAGCTTTCTCCATATCAATAATTAGCAATTGTAAATAATTCTTTTTATCATATCAATGGTTAAAATTAAGTTTATCCTAATTAGCCAGAACAAAATTAATTTAAATGTTTATAAAGAACGATGAAGTAAAGTTTGTGAATTTAAAAGAATATTTATATATTAGTTTTATATGTTATGTTTTACGTTATATTTGTCTCACTTATCTATTTTACTATGTGAATGAAAAATAAAATTTAAAAATCTCACTTTAAATAGATAGAATAATCAAATATTCAAAACTGTTTCTCAATAGTAATCAGAGTCGTATTTTAAGGAACAAGTTGACAGACAAATATCGTTAATAATTCAACAACATATTTCGACCTTTATTTTTGTGTCGTTCTCAAACACACCAATTATTCTAAAATGACTAATCAATGATCACATTCCACATATGCCCCTACTATGTATGTAAATCATCTTATATGTACTCATCAACCATTTGAAAATAATTAGTAATATTTGTAAAAATAAGAATAGTATATAAATTAAAATTCATTCTCTTTCTCTAGATATTAAGAATATATAAATTGTAAAATAAAATGTAAAAATTACAATATATATATATATATATTTAAATCCTTCTTTTTGTCAAGATTTACATTTGAAAATGAAGTCTCACACACCCTGCATCCAGTAGAAACAAAAATATATTAAGAAAACATAAAAGCATGAATGAATTTAACTGAGAAAACTAATGCATAAAGAAGCTGGTATCCATCAATCCTTCCTTAATCAGCCCATAATACGTTCATTAGTTGCATCACAAGATTCAAATATATTACTACGATCTTCTGAATTCTGTATAGTGGAATCTGCAATGCTTGGTACATTGTTCCAAAAACATCCCACACAGCTCGCTCCTTCACTAAGAACACCACTATTTTGGCTGAACACATAGCCTTTGTCCCATTCAGCCTTCTTATTAAGAAAGCTCGCCATAGATTATAATCTTTGTAGCATTCAGCATTCTTACCATACATTCTTCATCTCTACAATGTCTTTTCTAACTTGTTAGATCTTCATTAGCATCTCAGCAACTACACACCAATTGGTATAGGGACATTACCCTTAATATGAGAGTGGCATATTTCTATATGTATATTTTTCGTTTTATTATTACTTTTTATTCATCACAAAAAATCTAAAATGTTCTTTATAAAATAAAGTCCAACGAGCTTAGTATTCCCCATACTATTTATTAACCAAGAAAGTTATATGATAACTAAGAATACTTTATTAAAATAACAATAATAATATTATTATTAATATTGCATACGGTATTGTAAAATAATTCTAATAAATTCATAATCTTACCTTTAATC